TTGTACAAAAATAGTGTTGGCTCAAGAGCTCCTTCGAAGCAACAACCAATTGGCTCAAGAGTTTGCACATGAGAAGAAAATTCGCACCACTGCGTGACCAAGTGTGACATGGTTTCATCGCTCTTCCCGTTTCGTCTGTCCCCCTGTGCCTGGGTGGTGCCCCAAAAAAGTTTCCTTTAAAATGCACGCGCTTGTCGTTTGTATAGTCCTCGTTTTCATTTGTGCATGTTGCTTCGTTTGGGCAGCGCGCCAAAAAGATCAAGACCTGCCTTCTATTTGTAAAGGGTCAACAAATACAGTTTAATATCTGAAAGGGTTTTGTTGCCAGCGGTCTCGTCTGTGCCCTTTCCATGGTCGTTTGTTTCCCACGGTGTCGTGTTGGCACTGCTGTGTCGTTTGTTTACCACGGTGTCGTGTTGGCGCTGCTGTGTCGTTTGTTTACCACGGTGTCGTGTTGGTGTTGCTGTGTCGTTTGTTTACCACGGTGTCGTGATGGTGCTGCTGTCTCTTCTGCGCCCTTTCCATGGTCGTTTGTTTACCACGGTGTCGTATTGGCGCTGCTGTCTCGTCTGCGTCCTTCCCATGGTCGTTCGTTTACCACGGTGTCGTGTTGACGCTGCTGTCTGCGTCCTTCCCATGGTCGTTTGTTTACCACGGTGTCGCGTTGGCGCTATATATTGTCTCTTCTGCGCCCTTTCCATGGTCGTTTGTTTGCCACTATAACGCTGTGACCGTGCAGTCTGCGCCTCTTTAAAGTCATGCCACTATATATTAACCGGCGCTGGAGCATGACATGGTGGCATAAAATTGTCGTCTGCGCCCTTTCCTATGTCGTTTGATTGCCACTGTGCCGCCTGTATCGGCGTTGCTGTCTGCTGCAAACACTTATCTCGCCCAACGCGGTGTCTTTAACCGATCACATGTGCAGCATGTGTTTGGGGGCGCAAACGAAGCCATTCTACAAACAACACCGTCTGGTGCCTTATGTGGGAAATGACTTCCTTTGTGCAACGTTGGATCCTTTAGGTAATGTTCCTTTTCAGTTTCAACAATGTTTGCATGGATGGTGTGATTCTACAATGAATCAAACCAAGGGACGGTGTCAAGAGACAAGTTCTTTTACAATAGTTCATTTGCTCCATCGTAGTGTTCATGTACAATTGCATGGTGCTACACAATGCACCTTGGATCGAGGCCTTGAGCCTAAGGACAGTTGCCAGAGGAAAACAATACAGTGACGCGCACAAATAAACGACAAACAAACAGCTGCTGGAGGGAGGGAGGGAGGGAGAGCGCAAGGACAAGAGAGCGGGCGGCTCATGCGTATTTTGCGCCAAAAATACTATTTCTTCTATTTGAAGACCTGTTTGTGAGCACGTTTATCAACCTGTTATCTTGACGCTTTTCTTCTATTTGACCCGGAACCCTGCCACGGGAGGAATGCGCAGCCTTCTGTTCGAAAATGTTTTTTTTTTTAAATATCTTCTATAATAGTTTCCCGTACTATAAGTTGTTTAACTTGTGCGAGAAGCTTGGCGTTGGTGTTTGGATCGAAAATCCAGACACTTCATGGTGGTGGCGCCAGAAGAATTTTTGTGCCTATAGGAGCCCTGACAGTCCAGACATCTGCAGGCTGTGTTTTTGTAGGTTTGGGACACCTTGGAAAAAGCCCACCAGAATCTGCACCAACCTCCCTTTACTCAGAGGACTGCGGGTTTGGTGTCATTGTAGCAACAATCACCAGCAGCTCAGGGGAAATTCGACTTTGCACAAAAAGCCTTGGAGCCTTGTTGCACAGCCGTATCCTCGTGGAGTGAGTTTTTTACTTGCCTCCGCTGCTTGTGTTTTTTCAGGGTGGTCAGGATCTGTTAGGCTCTTGATTCCTGAAACAGCCAGAGCCGGGTGCTTCAGGATTGGGGAAGCAAAGAAACCCGGACCCAGACGTGTTCGGTCTCGCTCTGCCGTCGACATATCTCAGGTGCAGCTTTTGTCCAACAACACGTTGGCCTTGGAGTCGCGAGCCTTGGAAAAGTTTCTTTCATGGACCCGCGGGCGCATCTGATCGGTTGAGCCTGAAAATGTGTTTAGTTTGGTCCCACAATTCCTTGTGATGGCTTTGTGCTCGTTTGGAATCTGGGAGTTCGAGCACGGCGGGGCCCTTAGCAATTTTCGACATGTCGTCGTTCTTGCCTGTCAACGATGGCAGCCTTCGTGTATAGAGCACACACACAGCCGGCCTGGGACCTAGTCTCCAAGTGGGAGCTCACTGAGCCGGTAGTACATAGGCCCCCATCCCTGAGGGGCTTTTGAAGGCTTTATGTGTTCTAGCATGGCAGCTTGGCTGGCATAGATTTGTTGGAGTATTGCTCCTTGCCTTTTACGGAGCTGGTAGGGTTGGTGAAATCCTTAAGTGTCGTAGAACTGACCTTTTGTTTCCCCAGGATGTGCTCGATTCAGGGTATGAGTGCATTTTCCTTTCGCTCAAAAAGTTCAATAGCTTTGGACGCCAACCAGCGAAAGCCCAGCACATGAAAATTCAGGAACCTGATGCCGCCGCAATCTTGAAAGGCATTTATTTCAGACTGCCAGCTGACACTCTGATTTACCCAGCTTCGCCATCAGCTTTTCGGCGTCGGTGGGATAGGCTTCTTCAGATTGCAGAGATTCCTGTTTCTTGCAGACTTACTCCAGGTGGTTTACGCGGAGGCGCAGCTGTTTGGTTGTACAAGAACGAAGTTGAAGTTGCCACCATTTTATGGCGGCTTAGACTGCGCTCTATTTCCACACTGGAATCTTACTTGCAAGAGACTGCAGCGCTGTCCGTCCTTGAACCAATTCAGTTTTGCGTGAAGCTCAAGCTGAAACGCGTTGGGTCTCTGTTTCCATGTTTGAAAGATGCTGCCACGGGTCTTCTTTGATAGAAGACAGCATGGCTACTTGCTGGACGCATTCTCGGCCGTGCCCTCGCACCCGTCACGCTTCTGATCACAGTGGATCAGCAACTTGTTCTCTCTCCTTTGTTACATTGTTTCGATGAGGAATCTTCCAAGGAGGCCTTTGAAAGCTGCTTTGCTCTCTCTCTCTCTCTCTCTCTCTCTCTCTCTCCTGTGTTTGGAAGAGGAATCTTCCACGGAGGCCTTTGAACGCTGCTTGGAGATGCTGGACTCATCCGACTTTTTTAGAGAACGCGACGTTGCCGTACAGATCTTGCATGGGCAGAAGAAGGAAAATGAAGCTGCCAGTGTCTTTCGGAGTGGAGCTGAGACAAACATATATATATGCCAATAATTGCAGGCTACCTTTGTAAGAAGTACCCTTTTGTTTGTAACCCTGCCACTGCTGCTCACCCCTCCAGTGTGCACTTCTCCCATCACCGGCAGCCTCAAACCTCCAAAATCAGAGGTACAAGGCCGCGAAAACACGTACAGACGCCCAAGGGGAATTTTGGGCACGCTCAAAGGTTCAGTAGCTGCTATACTTGTTAGAAACATATATTGGCATATTTATGCATATTTCACGCAATAAACAACATGGCTCGGTTGAATGGCCAGCTCAGGCAGACAGCAGCGACGACATCAACGAAGGTATCAAAGAGGGACGACGTCAACGACGACTTGGCCCGGGGTCATGGAGCTCATGAAAGCACTGGAGAAGTCCAGAGGAGGGACCGGGAGCTGTTCATTGGTCTAATAGGTGTGCTCAATGCCAGAAATTTACCCACCAAGCCTTGATGTTTGTAAGCCCTATGGATTGTTCAAGCATCTGTAAGCCCTGGACTCTGACGGTTTTCTTTTGTCCATTCCAAAGATTTGTTTGGGAGGCCAGGCGTGAAAAACATCAGCCAGGGCCCTTTTCTGCGTGCAGTAATGGCCTCAGGAGCGCTCCATTCGACCTGGTCAACGGTGGCCGACAGCCTGGCCGGCAGCGAAGCTCAGCTTGTCAGGGATCTCAACGAGAAATGGTTCAGTGTCTCAGGCACCTTCTCGCTGGTGACGGAGTTTGTCATCAGCTACAAGGCCAATGCCACCTATACTGGCAACAACGCTGGCCTCTTGATGAACTGTTTCTGTTGTATTACCACAGTGTTCACTGCTTTTTGTTTCTTGAGTTGAGCAAAAAGTGTTTGAAGGGCAAGCCATGGGTCGGCCTTGGAAAAGCCTTGTGTTCAAGCCTTAAGGCTTGAAGAGTGGTTTGGACATTATAGTGGCTGGATTGTCCAATTCTGGGAGCTCGCTCCTTCAGGCTGCCACGTTTTCAGTGTCCAAGAACCTCGCAGAGCGTTGTCGCTACCTCTCGTCCTATGCAGATCCTGTGTTTGGAGAGGGCAACATCTATGAGATGCTGACTGAGTTGCTGGTTTACATGGTGACACTTGTTAGCTCGGTCAACCCGGTAACTACCTTGGACATGTAGACTGAACATTCACTTGCATCGCCAATCCAGATACCTAGCTTGGACATACAGATCATATACAGTGATTGAGCATGATTGAGCATTCACTTGCTTTGAGCTGTTTGAAAACTTTCTTGACGATAAATGATGGAATGATAAGAATAACACAGTTTTATCACCCGGCGGTTGGTGGCACGGTGAACTTGAGAGGAGCAGAACGAATACCCGTTCTCCTGTTGGATTGGCTATTTGACATGTGTGTTAGGCGGCTAACGCGATAAATGTTGAACCGAGGCTGCAGGCGGTTTGCAGTAACACTAATGTGGCTGCAGCTTTGCCTGCGGCCGCAGAGCCCAATGCTGCTGCTTTGATCGAAGGTGTGACGGTTCTGGAGACTGGGACTGCGCCTACCACTACTTTGACAACGACTACGACAACACCCCCAGCAACAACAAGTACTACCGCGCCCACTACTACAATCACAGCTAAAGCCACGACGACGGCAGCGACATCCACAACAACGCCGACCACTATAAGGATGACCACTACAACGACGACCTCGCCTACGACTACGACCACGCCTACTTCTACTTCTACTTCCACCACCAGCGCGGCAGCCACAACCTCGAGCGGTGGTGTTGATAAAAACTGGGCGCTCGGGCCTGGAGGCTTGTTGATGTGATCCACTGGCTCAAGAAATACGACCAGGGTTCTTGGTTGGTTAAAAGATGTTTTTAAAAAATAGGGTTTGGCAAAGATCTATAATGATATATACAATATATACCCGTTACATCCCGTTACATTTCCTCTATAAAATGAGGGGGGTCCAGGTGATTTATAAAATGCTTCATGGGTCCCCCTTCAGGGGAGAGTTGACCCTGGATTTCACATGCGATTTGATTTGGCTCCAACCAGTGGCAAAAACATAAATCTCAGAAGACGCAAGCGGAGAAAAGAAACGGCAATCGCTATCCCAAGAAAGGAGAAGCCGTTATGGTTGTCCTTCGTGTTCACAATAACACGGTCCCTCAGTTTGGTGAGAAAACTTGTAACTGGCAACCCCGGGTCTCAACATTAAGATGCCTCCTGGCGAAGGGAATGGGACACCACAACATCAAATTTGTTTGTTTGTCCTCTCATGGGATCTTTGATTATCCCAAGTCCCTTCAACTCAGCCTTTCAGTGTCCGACCACGATCTACCTGCCTGACTTTCGACAAAATGGTACCCTCTATAAAAAGGAGGGTTGACCTTCTGGACCAAGATTATGTTAGCCGACATCTACCAACTACAATCAGCAGACCACTTTACCCTATCCCGCCTATCCCTCTATAGAATGGGGGCTGACCCTTTCAACCATTGATCATTTATATAAATATGATTTGGCCCACCACTACTAACACCACTACTACTTTCTACTTTTACCACAGCAGTACCAAACCTATTCCGCACTGCTACTACTATCTCTACTATTGATGCTGCTATACTACCATCACCACGCTCAATTGGCAACACACATTCCTCTGGGCCCTCAGCATTCTTCCTTCCTCTTCTCAGAAAGGGCAACTGTACTTGCATGAATGGGTCATCGGACAAGATTTTTTTGGGGCTCATCCCAGCACAACTGCGATGGCAGGAGAATGTGGCCCCACAAAAGAAAAGGATCAAGAATGTGTCCATAAAATGTGTCCACCAAAGAATGTGGCCTCACCAGTGGAGGTAACCATAGAAGCATTTGCATTGATGCACCTACCAGACCTACCAGACATGCACCTTTCAGACCTACCAGGGGCGAACCCCTTGAACTAATCTGAAATGATTCTAACACGACATATAGGCAATCCAGCGAGGGCCAACGCAAGGAATGCAAGTCAACACCCTAGCTTCTCCTTTCCCTGCTCCTCCTTCCTCCTTTTGCAAGTCAGAGATTCACAGTGTTGCTTGCTGACAAGTGTCAGCCAATGGCATTCCATACAAAAGCATTCTTCCTCAGCCACTCTATATCCCCTACTCCTTTGGCCCTGCAACTTCCTATCTATAAAATGACCTTTACCCCCGCCCCTGTATATTGACATGGATAATATATATGATGTGATGCCCCCGGAATTTAAGACGACCGGGTTCGGAATCATTTTCGCCGATAGAGTTTGGCTCTCAGCGGATGCCCTGCCGTGACTGTAGCCCACCTTTGCGGGGAGCACGAAGTGTTGTGCAGCTTCTGCCGGACGAGGAATCGCTTTTGGCTCATTCTGGACGAGCTGCCTGTGTCTCTTAGAGGTTGGGCGGTGAACAGCCTCAGAATCTGGACAAGCATCCTCCAGGAAGAGGCCGACAAGCGCCAAGAGCACATCCGCTTGCAAGAGGAGGCAGGCAAGACAACCGCTCCCAAGGCGAAAAGCCCGCCTTCTACCACATCTCCTGGTCCGGGGAGAGCAGAGCCAGGCGAAGGAGAGGAACGTCCAGACAAGTCGTGGGTGGCGCCAAAACGCGAGGAGGAAGAGACAAGAAGCCCCGACCAGAAGGAGGAGAGTCCAGGTGAGGCTGAAGAGGAAGGCAAACATACCAGCTCCTCGAAAGGTCATCATCGAGATCAAGATCAACCGTCAAGGAGGAGAAGCAAGACACGAAGCAGAGGCAGGAGAGACAAGAAGAGAGCCAGCAAGACTCGGTCAAGGAGTCGGAGAAGGCGCAGAAGGAGTTCGAGAGAGGAGGCACCAAGCGAACCAGATCGGGCTGGGGCGGAGCCAGTTCCGACCGACCTGAGAGCTAGATCAGTTCGACCTCCACGTACACCATCCAGATCACCTCCGGGGAGGCACAATCCTCCTGCAAGGACCCCCGCCTATCATCAGGCCAGCAGTCAAACGGTGGGACGGAAGGCCACCTTCGTGGAAGTTGCAGCCAAGGTACTTTGGTGACAACAAGGGTGCAAAGAAGCGTGAAAGGCATTATTACCGGGCTCAAGGAGACGATCTCTGAGAGCTATAGCCGGCGATGCCACCTCAGCGTCGGCCAGCTGCGGCTGTGGAAAGGGCACCTCCTGCACGGGGAGGGGCATTGAGGAGGACGCCCAGCGGTGAGAGAGGCTGGACGAGCAGAGGGTGACGGTGAGTTGGAAGGTGAGGCATTGCGCCTTGCAGCAACAAAAGCGGTGGCTGGAGAGGAGAAGACAGAAAAGAAGAAGGACAAGAGAAAGAGGAAGAGGAGCGAAGGTCGGAGCGAGAGCCCAGAGAAGAGCAAGGAGAAGATCGACTTGAAGGCCGGAGCTCGAAAAGGCCTGAAGGAGGTGTTTGGCGGGACAGGCTTAGATCCAGACCCCCGCTATCGGCGCCGCTTTGCCGTGAAGGCTCAAAAGAAGAAGAAGAAGAAGAAGAAGATTGACTCCTCTTCCTCGGGCGACAAGACGAGCACCTCAGAGTCCGTAGAAGTCTTCGAGGAGCAGCAGAAAGTCCGTCGACTATCACGCTGAGCTCCGGGGGTCCTAGCGGCTCTAGCTATGCGGGAAATGCAGACCCGCCTGCTCACGGCAACAGGTGGAGTGTGGCATCAAGATCAGACGGCAATACAACCTCTGGCATGCCAATATTACCGCCAGTCGTTGGCACCTCGTCTCCAAGGCGGACCAGGTTGAGAAGGGCTGACCCTATGCTGGGCCATCGATCTAGCCTTACAAGGCAGGGTGGCAGAATGCGTCGATGCCTTGGTTCAGAGGCTTTAAGTCGGTGGAGATGGTCTTGCAGGGATCTGCATGGCATATCGCGCAGCGGCTCGAGGTATTGCCACTAGAAAGACCCCTCCTTTCATCAAGGGGGGAAGCAAAGGAGGCAATCAGAGAACAAAAAGAAGACCAGCGCACCCGCAACGAAGCATCCAAGGGCAAAAGCAAGTCGGACAATTGGCAGTGGCGAGACTATGGCAGCGAAGGAAAAGGCAAAGAAGCAAAGGGGAAAGGCAAGCGTGGCAAGGACAAAGGAGAGCAAAAGAAGTGAGGAGGAAGGCGTCGCCATTGCCAGGTACAGGAGGGAGTCCGCCCTCAGTCTATGTTGCCCCGTTTGAAGAGGAGGGCAAGTTTTTTGAAGCAGCTCTGAAGCCAAGCGATCACGTCGACGAAGCTGGACCAGAGCACCACAGGGGCGCTTGGCTGGGTAGTCCGGCCGATCCTTCACGCCTCTCCGCAGTTGAGACCTCGTTGATGACCTTGTCTGCGGAAAAAGTTTGCATGCAGCCGCCGGTGGCAGGGGATAGTTTGATTCAGGTTGTCCCTTGGTTAGTGAACGAGTTGGTTCTTCTGTGTCCGAAGGTAGGTTTGGACAATCGATGCAAGACCCAGCCCAAGGGTGATGTTTTTCCATTGCCCACCAACACGTTGCACTTAAGGGACTCACGGGTTTGGACCTGGGCATTGTTGGAATGGTTAGAGGGATGCGCTTGGCGCTGAATCTATTTTATGGGGTGGCCGCTGAGAATGCCTTCCACCCCACTTCACTTCAGGTTGAGGCTGTTAGGCATCTAGCTAGGGAGGCTCAAGTGACGTCTGAGTGGCCAGAACGACTTGAGCAGACCTCGTGGCAGGAGTTCTTTCACCTGAAAACCATTGATTACTGTGGAGATGAGGTTCTTTGTGCCCAGTCAGCGAGTTGGGCCAACTTGGCGCCAGCTATGCCCGCCGAAATAGCCTCAGTGGAGCTGGCTGAGGTCTGTGAATTGGGGTGTAGGCACTACGTGGAGAACTTTGCGGAGTATCTCCTTCCCGGGGAGATGCAGCATGCCATGAAGAGCCCACGAGTGCTAGTGCGCGATGATCATTGGCGTGAAGTGCGAAGGATTGACAAGAAATGGGGTGTGCACCATCCTCCCAAAGAGCCAGGTCTACCACATTGATGGGCAGCCGCTATTGAACGGCCTTTTTGGGGTCAAGAAAGACGAGATCGTGAACGGGGTACCTGTACATAGGCTCATCATGGATCTGAGACCATGCAAGGGGCCTGGAGGGCGACGTAGCCACCCTACCCAGTTGGGCAACTATGGGGCCTCTTCAACTCATGCCTACAGAGGACCTGGTAGTGTCCTCTGAAGATGCGCGCTGTTTTTTCTACAAAATTCCGGGTGCCTCGTGAGTGGCACCCCTTCCTGGCCTTCAACAAGCCACTGCCTCAGGACATGTGGCAGGGAGAGGACGGGCCATACTACATCGCGTCTCAGGTATTGCCTATGGGTTTTAAGAACTCGGTCAGCCTGGCACAGCACGTTCACAGGAACATCGTCAGGATGGCTTCTGTCCGGACAGGTGAGGGTCTCCAACCCGAACAGGAGGTGAGAAAGCACAGACCGTTTTCATCGTCGTCGGTGCTTCATCGGATCTATCTCGACAACTTTGATCAGCTGGAGAAAGTGCTGAAGGGATCTCCGGGACTCCTGGACGGGGAGTGCAGCCCAGGCATTGTGGCCTTGAGGGCTCAGTATCGGGGAGTCCCGCGTCCCGTTCCCTCGTGGCTGAAGTGCAGGGGGCGATCATTGATGGTGGTTTAGGTATCGCGTACCCCAAAACCTCCAAGGTCTACAAGTACACTGGGTTGTCGATTCTTTTCCTGAGGGAGAACATGAGCAGTCAGAAGCAGGCGCAAGTCATTGCCGGGGGCCTTGTATATTTGAGTATGTTCAGGCGGCCTCTTCTGGGCTCCCTGAATCACATCTGGAGGTTCATCGAGGCGTTTCGTGGATATCCCCCCATGATCAAACTGCCCATTCCTGATGGGGTCAAGCTCTGCCTTGTCCCTCTAGCGCGGTTGGACTTTCGGTTGGGGGTCTCGTCAGAAGTCATTGCGGTGATGCGTCTACTTCAGGTGGTGGTTTGACAGTGAGCACGGGGCTAACTGGGTTTGGAGTAGCAGCTTCGGAGGCAGCCACCAGAGGGGACCTAGCAGAGCCACACGACCTTCATGGAGTACTCACTATTGGTCTGTTTGACGGCATAGGTGCACTCCGCGTAGCGGCGGACGCATGTGGTTTAGCGGTGGTAGTAGACATCAGCGTGGAGGTGAACAAGACAGCCAGTCGGGTTCTCGAGAGCAAGTTCCCCGCCACAGTCTTTGTTGAAGGAGGTGTTGAAGACGTCGTGGAGGAGGAAGTGCGGCGGTGGGCTTGCCAGTTTTCTCAAGCTTCTCTTGTTCTCGTTGGAGCAGGCCCTCCGTGCCAAGGTGTGAGCGGGCTAAATGTTGATCGCCGGGGAGCATTGCGGGACCACCGTAGCTCCTTATTCATTCATGTCGAGCGCATCCGGGAGATGGTGAGGCAGCAGTTCAAATGGGCCCAGGCGCGCTACCTGGCTGAAAGTGTGGCCAGTATGGACTCCCAAGATCGAAAAGTGATGACAAGGTCTTTTGGAGACTTGCCAGTTCAACTTGATGCTAGTGGCGTTTCTCTTGCTCGGCGACCCAGACTGTATTGGTTTGATTGGGACTTGAAGTCAGGTCCGGGAGTCTCTGTGGGACCTTTAGAGGGCTCAGGTGACTCTGCCTTCAGGAAAGTCGAGCTCCAGGCAGAGGTGACACCGCAGAGCTATTTGCAGCCAGGATGCAGCAAAGTTTCCACTGAACCATTCCCAACGTTCACTACGTCAAGGCCCAGGGACTATGCAGGTAGGCGGCCAGCAGGTCTGGACAGGTTGAACCCTCAGGAGAGGCTTTGGTGGGAGGAGGATTCATTCCGCTTCCCGCCGTACCAGTACCAGGAGAAACTCACGATCTTCGACGCAAAGAAGCAGCCGAGACTACCAGACATTCAGGAGAGAGAAGTCATCATGGGTTTTCCAAGGGACTACACTATGCAATGCATGGCCAAGCAATGGCAAGGCTCGCCTCAGCATTTGGATGAAAGAAAAACGTTGATTGGCAATTCGTGGAATGTCACAGTTGTTACGTGGCTGATCTTGCAGCTTGGAGGCCAGTTGGGGTTGTGCTCCTTCCTTTCGCCTCAGCAGGCCGTTGACAGGACAGCTCCTGGTGCTTCGCGTGAGTTAGCTGGACTTCTCTGCCTCCTATGCAGTCGGGGAGGAAGCAGGGGTCGCCAAACGGGGAGCAAACTCTTGTGAGGAATTGAAGATACTCTTCGCTACCATAGGTTGAGAGCAAGCCTTCCTGCGAAGCTGTGGAGGTGGCGTACAGTCATGGGGTGGCGATGGTCGGGATCACCTGAACATATCAACGTCCTGGAGCTGAGGGCGGTTCTCACCAGTATTAGATGGCGAATTCTCAAGCGACGTGCTTTTCGGACGAAGATGGTGCATATGATCGATAGTCTTGTGCGCTTGCATTGTTTGGCTCGGGGCCCGAGCAGCAGCCGGAAGATGAGGCGGACCCTGAGTCGAATTGACGCTTTACTCCTAGCTTCGGGGAGTCATGGAGTATGGGCGTATGTCCATACTTCACAAAACCCTGCAGACCGCCCCTCGAGGCGGCCGGTTAAGAAGAAATGGCGAGGAAGTCAGGAGCTCACTTAGAAGGTAGGAGTAAAGCAGCAAGGCAAGCACAAAGGCGAAGATTAGGACCACTTCGAAATCTCACAGTTCAAAGCAAAACAAGAGCACGTTACGACAAAGCTATGGAGCGCTATCGCAATTTTCTTCGAGAAGAGAACAGACCATATCCTCGAGATGCAGCAGGCCAGGACTACGTTCTGTCGCACTACATAGAGAACCTAGGGAGACTGGCGAGGGTCGAATCGCCTGTGATACCGTTGCGGCGGTTCAAGATTTTCATCCATTTCTTCGGGGGCACTTGCCCAGTGCATGGCGGCTTTTGAAAACATGGTCGTCAAATGAGCTCCCGAACCGTGCACCGCCACTACCTCTGGATGCACTTCATGTCCTAGCTGGTTACGCGTTGTTCACTGACAAACCCCTGTTTGCCCTTTCGTTGCTCCTGGGATTCCATGGGCTCCTGCGTACCGGTGGAGTGAAAAAAGGCGCACGTCGTCCAGTCAGGTCCTCGTAGCCCAGCAGTAATCTCCCTAGGCCTTACAAAGGGCGGAAAGAGAGCTGGAGCTGCTGAAAGTGTCACAATTCGGGAAGAAGACACCTTGTGGCAGTGGTTGAACACACCTCAGACCCCAGCAACCCTATGTGGAACACCTCATTCCTGGCGGAAAACTTTTAATGAGTGCCTTTTAGCCTGTCAGCCAGACAGCTACGACTTCCGACCCTACAGCCTTAGGCGCCTCCTAGTTCAGGGAGGTGGGCCTCCAGCAAAACGGCAAGAATTTACATTAACGAAGGTTTAGCTGTCCTCGCTGAACTGAAGCTGGCTTTTAATGGCACAGCCCAACCATACCAGCGACAATTCCAGAAGTCTCTCCGTGTCCCGCTACAAACTCTTGAGCTTCACCCAAAGGGTGGGCCAGGGGGACGTGGAAGGAAGCAGGGACAGAAGCGCAAAAAGCGCGCAATGAAGTGATTTTTCTTTGAATTCAACACCGCCGGCGGAAGGATGAAAAAGATCAAGGGATGATCTGACGTGAGGGTGGTGGCCCGGATGTCCCCCGGTCTGTGTTACCACTTCAGGTGTCATGTAGTACAGCGCTAACACAAAAGGCCAGCCAAGAGTTAAAGAAGTCCTCACGTATGTGTGAAACAAGGTTGCATCCTCGGAAGGGTACAGGCACACACACACACACGTCAAACACCGAATCAAGACATCCAAAAAGGCTCACGCTTTGCAACTGGGCTTCTATAGATCAGTACGTTTCTGTAGAGGTGATGTAGAACCTCATGCACATGACTGACAGGAGTACAATGCGGCCAAAAATGGAGGTTTGTTCCAAGATGTTCCAAGCACTTTTTCAGAACGCGTACATAGTTCTTAGGACGCAAGAACCATTCTTGCCTTCCCATCCTATCAGGGGCGCCAGCTAGATGACCTCCCAGGCTCATCAAACCCACATTAAACCAACCATGTCCTTTGCACAAGTCCCAATACATGGACATGAGCCACAAAAGCCGTTGGACCTCAGAAAGAGACGTTGGAAAGTTTCAAATGATCCCGGCAAGAGGCCCCAAACAGTGTGTGTGAGGTCTACAAGCAGAAAGTCTAGAGATCTAGACGCATTGGGGTCCAGAGAGGTGATGGTGGTGATCAAGGTGGGGATCGTGGTGACGGTGGCGGTGGTGGTGAGTGAGTGAGTGTGAGTGAGAGTGAGAGTGTGGGTGAGAGTGAGTGTGGGCGAGAGTGACAGTGAGAGTGTGAGGGAGTGTGAGCGTGAGCGAGAGAGAGTGGGAGAGTGAGAGTGTGAGGGAGTGTGAGTGGGAGTGGGAGAGTGAGAGTGTGAGGGAGTGTGAGTGTGAGTGAGAGTGGGAGTGGGAGAGTGAGTGGGTGTGAGTGTGAGCGCGAGTGTGAGTGAGAGTGAGAGTGCGTGTGAGTGAGAGTGAGTGTGGGTGAGAGTGAGTTGTGAGTGAGAGTGAAGGTGGGTGTGAGTGAGTGTGTGTGAGAGTGGGTGAGTGGAAGTGGGAGAGTGAGTGAATGTGAGTAGAGTGAGCATTTGAGAGCACCACAAAGTGCTTCGCCTGCGCCGACATCTGCACCTCGAGGTTCACAAAGTACAGTCGATAGAAGCACCCTCCTCGCCCAATCAGATTCTGCGAGCCTGCGCAGTCGAAATGCACTTCGGCGATTTCGAGAGGCATGAATGCACTGTAAATAGCAGCGAATTAGCCGGACACGCCCGCGCGGCGCACCGATCTAAGCACAGCTGCTCTTCCACCACCGTAAGAACCCCTAGTGAGTCCACACTGCTTGGGGAAAAAGAACTTTTGCGCAAAGGCTATTAAAATCGAAAGCCACCGACACCGAGGGTTGGGTGCACATATATACATAGAGAGAGAGAGAGTAAATATAGATATCCATCTTCCCTTTTATTTATTATATACGTATATATATATATATATACACATAAACATCACAGACAAGGCACTGTTCGTTTCCTTGGGGATTTTATTCCATCGTGGAGGGTCTTCAGAAGGACCCCTTTCATTGTCAGGAGGCAGCTGCGATGATGTTTGTGGAGTCGGTCTGTGTGATCTAACGAAGCAGGAATCGGTGACGAGCGACATGGATGTGTTGCAAACTTCCTTTTATTTGTTCCAATGTTTTCCACAAGCAAGTCAGCATCCCTTGAATACAGTTGCATTTTTGTTCTTAAGTTTGCATGTTTCAAATAGCCTATCGTATCGCAGAGTTTCCAATGCTTGGATATCCCTACCACCTTAGAACAAAAATTGAGGTGGACGTGCCGTCAGTTTTTTGAAAAAATTGAATATGAAATCACAAATGATTATGTTATTCCTTAGGTCCACGGAATTCAAGCAGGGAAGGTGGGAACAATTCACACTCGCTTGGTTACATAGGTCACTAGGCCAGTCCAAGATGTTTGTCCAAGACCCCTAGTCCTAAAGACAGGATCACAAGTACTTGGCAAGATTTGGCAAGCATGTTTATAGACGGTTGGGGTGTTTTTTTGGCTTAGTGCCCTTTGGAGCATCAGTTGAACCATAAACACCCCCTCTATTGTGAAGAGGTTTTACATGGTTTTACATACCTTCGCCGCAGCCCCGAAACAGCGCGGGCCACCGGTCTCAAACCGTTTCGGCGACCGGAACATGTCGTCGCGCCTGCAAAAGGAACAATGTAGCACAGCGACGCAGACCCAGTTTGCCCGAGTGAGTATTCTTATGGGCTGTTACCCTAAGCAATGACCATACACGTGCATTTATTGGGAAATGACATCAGGAAATAAAATTGACCCCCCCTCCTAGGTGCCAGCACACTGCTGGACCCCACCTCCTAGGTTACACCACTTAAGGTAGTAGGGATACTTGGATGTATTTGGTGTCAATCCTTGGCTGTCATTCCGCGCTGAGGCGACGAACTCATGGCAATTTCAACCAGCTTGGGCCGCCAATGCGCAAGCGTGCACAGCTACCCAAATCCTTACAGTCCAGAGATCGATAGTAGTCAGACGTGCTGGAGGGCGTCAGGAAAGACAACTTGCAGTGCTGACACCACCGATATACGTCACTTGGATTTGTTGGTGCCAATTGTTGCTGATGGCAGGAAAGTGAGATGGCTTGCGGAGAATCGTTGGTGCCAGTTTCTGTTCGAATTCCGCCTACAGGCCACCAACGAATCTGCTACTGCACCGCAGCAGCCATGCCAGCTAGTACTGCTACTGCTACGACTATACAACCACAACGGCGGCTACAACCTCAACAGCAACAACTAGGACGACCACGCCTACAACAACGTCACGCAACAACCAGCATGCTGCCTACCACCGGCTGGCAGTTTTCCGTTCCAGGCGCTCAATAATACGTTCAATTTTAAGAGTTTCTCGGATATTTGGGTAATTTCACTGTATTGATCTCCCTGGTTTCGGGTAAAATAACCTTCTCTCCTGTAGGTCAACCCTGTGACACCGTGTGCGGAGTCGACAAGTGTGACAAGGACGCCATGGCCGGAGTGAATGATCAAGCGTCAGCCTTTGCAGTGATGAGAGATATCTTGGGGAAGCCTTGCAACGAATCTCAAGGAAGGAACTATCCAGGCAGTCCTTTCTGGGCCCAGACAGATCCCTTCGTTTGCTACTACTACAATGGAGAAAACCCTGCAGGAATCGATTGTTCCAGCAACAAGTTTCATTCCCATGAAGCCTTGTGTTACTGCCTCAGCAGCAACTTGATCCAAGATCGTTTCAGCAGTGAGACGGGCTTTCAACGGTTGGACGTGGATCCAGCGCCTCGGATTCGACCAATTGTTTTTTTAATGTTTTTTTGGTGTTCTTGTTTTGACCGTGCAAACTCCTTCCCACTCCCTCTCTTCCATGTCACTCAACCCAACTCACTCTCATTCATCCCAGTCTCAGTCAATTCACACTCATTCTGACTCATTTGCTCTAGGGTAATCTACTGTTGTCCGCCGCTGGCTTTCCCTTGTTGCCGCTGCTCCTGGCTGCTCCTTTGTTGCTTTCTCGTGTTTTTGATCCTTTTTGTTGTTCTGCGGGGGGTTGCATTGGCGTGGTCCGCTGCTGATTCCTGTTTGGTCGTCGCTGCTGCTCACTGCTGCTTTGCGGCTTTCTGCTGCTTGAAACTGCAGTGGATTTCTTGCTTGAAGGATAGATAAATTATTGATAGTGGTATCCAGAAGAGAGCGACAGATCCAATGGAATTATCAGCAGCGTGCCCGCTCTTCTCTATCATCAGCTGATATGCATTTGCTACTCATCTGCCGTCATTCCTCCCCTGGCCACATTTTGCTCGGCTTTGCTACAAGCAGACAAGTTTGACGTGTGGGGTTTCTGTGTTTTTCCACAGCTTCACATCTCTTGGCACAGGCGAGCTCGCCCATCGAGCCGGTTATTTGGTCTGCGATGGTGCATTTCAGCTCGACGGAAGCGACCTGCGAAGCCTGTAATGTGCTTTTTTGTTGTTTGTGGGAGAACCCCCAACAATCTCATCCAATGTATTGCAGTTTACCAATGCCGAGACATTACAAGTGAATACTCGTTCTATCCCGGTGAATGGTCCTTTGTAAACGCCAGATAACGCCACTAACTTGACTCTGAAGAATGTATGTTGCGCTGAGCTTATAGAGAGTGTATGTTTTCTCAGTGTTGGGGGAACCTTTGAGAGCAGTTTAGAGAGTTTGTTTTTGTTTGTTCTGGTGTCCTTGTTGGCATGCTGCATGCCTGTGAACCCTTCACAAGCATTGTTTTTGAGGAGCAGGGTGCTGTAAGACGTACTGTGTTTATTGTACTAAAGATGTTGCTTTGCGTTATATTGAACCAATGTTATCAGAGTGTCGATTTCGCAACGCATTGCGTAGATAATTTGGGTGTTCACCTACAAAAACACTTTATATAGAAAGCGTATATGTACAGCGTATTATTGAGAGAGAAACTAAAGAAATCTAAATAAAACCGATTTGCTTATATGCTTATATATCTTCAAGGAGATGCAGATTGTTTAATGTTGTTCCAATGTTTTGTGCCTATTCCTGTTTTGACTTGTGTTTTGTCGCAGCTTCACATCTTGGGTTCTCGACAATCCCTGTCATGTTTTGGGATTTGGTTTTCTGATTGTATAGAGGCTGCACTTGTTTTTGACAGAGCTGCATCTGGCTTGGCGCTTCAAAGAAACACTCTTGCCAGTTTGTTTGTCGAGATGTTTTCTCTTGCCATCCATTCTGTAGACACCATTTCTCCAAAAAGAGTGCTCAAGTGACCCAGCGGCCCCATCACCCGGTGTGTAATTAGGTGTTTCGTATGGTTGGCCCACCCTTAGAAGTAAAACCAAGGATCCAAATGAGTGCTTCGAGGTCTATACGTTCGGCGGGTGCTTGTCAGATGGAGCGGCCACCAACAGCGTCCACCGGGGTGTCGTAAACTTGGCCAATCTGATGGTCCTTTGGGCCAAATCGGGTCCAGCGCCAGTAAACTTAGCACTCCATACAGTGGTGTGGATGGGGCCAGATAGCGCCCTGGTGTTTGGTGGCTTGGACAGCTGCAATGAAGGAAGTGTGGCCACAAACAAGCTTTGGCAGTGGAGCAGAAATGTTTCAGACGGAGGCTGGAAGGAGTTAAGCCCCTTGCCGTACTTGTGCGGGCTTTATTTCCACACTGCCAACACCATTGTTTCTCTCTCCCAGTCCGGGATGGTCGTCTATGGTGGGCTTGACTGCAACAATACCGTCTCAACAGACCACTTCTATTTGTTTGATTTCCAGACGTTGAAGTGGACCCAGCCACTGGTCCAAAAGATTGGTGTGAAAAGGTGTCACAATTTTTCGTCGATGTCAGACCCAGAGTTCAAGTGGCCCCTTAAAATCACCCCGCTTGGAGCGATTTTGCACGACCATCCTGTGTGTTGCTGTGTTGCTAAGGAAGTATTCAGGTTATACACCGCCGATGTTTGGTCATGCTACTGCTTGGACACCGTCCAATCCCACACTACTGTTCGTGCAAGGGGGCTACCAGTGGGATTGGGTCAGTTCGGTGTGGAGCTTGGAATCTGACTTGTATGTCTTGGATATCAGCACCATCTTCATTCCTGGTGTCTTTGCCGGCACCGAAAAATGTGTGAGTTCTAACAAGCAACATCTTCCTGTGTCATATGTGCGCTTTGACATGTGTTAGAAACCCTGCTGCTTTTTGTGACCCAAAACTGTTCAATAACACTACAAGGTTCAAAGGAGGTGCCATTGCAAACGCGTACGGGAACAGGCGCCAGAAAGACGTTTCACTCTTTGCACCACGGCCGCTTACAGTGAAGCTCTTTGAGTGTGGGACCTCCCCAAAGACTATTTATTACACTAAGGACCTTTTGCGTGTGAGTCTTACTGTACAGTATATAAAGGTCACAAAACTATTGGGTTGGAGGCCATCGCTAGTAGGTTGGAGGCCATTGCTATTATGTTGGTGGCCATTGCCATTACTTTCCTTAAAGTCTTTTTCTTAGGTTTCTTAAACCGGAGGAGTTTTGGCCCAAAACACATCGACGGCCACTGTTCCGACCACTCGGTCTCACTCGGTTTTGGGCGGCTGGGGAGCGATCGATCCTGAATTCCACTGTTTTCAGGCTGCCGTTCAAAGAAGAGTATGGTGAAACAGAGTATGTGACCTACAAAGCCATCGGTGGAATTTACGAGTGGACAGAGGACGGTGGAGTTCAATTCCAGAAGACCGAAACCTACGACTACGACCCAAACAGATTAGAAAAGATTGATGTCGACGATATCGAGGTGGCAAAGGAATTCTACGGATATGGGCAAGCAGCAACTTGGCAGCGGCTCACATGATCGGAACCCCCCGACTCCTTTGCTGGGCCTGGTCACTGGTCGATCGATTCGTCCCGCCCATGTTCGGGAGTTTGGGCGCCTACCCATTAAAGAAGGTGGGTTGATGGTGTTGACCGTTGAAGGATATCGATCACTTAATAACATTTGTAGATCCTATAGGGTTTCAATATTTTTGGATATTTTTGGGAGTTTTGGAAGTTGAGAATCTTTAAGATCAAGTGTCAACATTGATAGACCAAGTGGGCTGCCAGGGAGTGAGTTTCCCCTATGGCGAGATCTACACGGGCATCCTCATTTTTGGAGGGGCGGACGGTCAAAAAAATCTTACCAACAACATCTTTGTCTACATGGATGCAGGTCAACGACCTCTTTCTGCACCTGGACTCTTATGTTTGATTGGCATATCCATCTCGATGTTCAACGCCTAAATCCAGAATTGCCCGGCGATCAGTGCTCATTTGTGTTTGTGAATGATATCCATTTTTGCCAGATGCAGTTTACCCGTTTAGCACAGCCAAGAGTGCTGAAACCTCTTCAAAAGCAGAAGTCTCACCCAGCCATACCCAGCCTGCATTCGGCCATTCCAAGCCATAAAACGATCGATGTTATTGGGACGCGCGAGGCATAGCACTTGATCTCTTTATCAGGTATGTATGGAGAGATATGGAGAGCAACAGTTCGCATCATGTACATGTGACCTTTTTGTGCCACCTTGTGGGAGACCCGACACCAAACACAGCCGACCCAAGAAGCTTGGTGAAACACGAAAGCACGTGCACCAAACAAATCTCTATCAAATAGACGTCTATAATTGACTACTTGGTCCATCCCAATCCGCCCTGCTTGTGTTATGTAGCATGATAGATATGATAGTTATACGTAGTATATGCAGTAATTAAGTATCGGGCATTGCTTGTTAGGAAGGACCTAGCCTAGTTGCATCTTGTTGACCTGATTCTAGCCAGGGATATCAGTATCACCGCGGATGGACCATGCCCCTACTATGTCCAATCCAGGCCAAGTGAGTTGTTTTGCGCACTCTCCAGGCATTCTCCAGCGGAAGAAGCCCTGGCCAACGGCGATGCTCCAGGACCCGGGCGCTCCCGAGGGGTGCAAGTGGACCTTCGGCTTCAAAACTGAAGAAAAGCTCTTTGTAGATGTATTTGCCATCCTGGAGTAGATAGAATATGATTCAATCCAAAAACATGTTAACTGCTAACAGTCTTCCATTGGTTGTGGCTTTTCCCATATGGACGGGCATAGTATGGGCTTGGCCCCTTTCGTGGCATGGACCGGAGTCCCGGTGATCCCTTTGGCCTGGACGTCGGTGTCCTGGAGGGGCCAACATTGTACTTCGAAGGTTTGGTCCCTTGGGTGCCCCTCACGTGTAAATCATATTGTAAAACCACGGTTGTGTGAGGGGCAATATTGGATATCATAGATGTTGTGAGCCAATCATATTGTAAATCATATTGTAATACATAGATGTTGTGTGCCTACAATTGGACGGTTTGCGCATGTAGTTTGGGCTCCTGTTGTTTTCATCCTGAAACTGCCACTCCGAACTGTGACCACTCCCTTACGCCCACAAACACGACTGGGTTCTTCATCATGGGCTACGCCGGCCGCCTTCAGAGGGGCTTTCAAAGCTGCTGCCGTCTATTCCTTTTGGATCTTTAGGGGTGCGGGTTTAGGCGTGCGTAACTATCACTAGGACTCTAGAAGCTTAAGATTTACATTTTGGGCCGCTGACATTCCCTGCAATCATCGAATCCACATGCCCTCATCATCCTCCTGTCCATTTGCTCTGTAAAATGGTGGGGGTGCCACCATCATCCTAAAACGTTTTAGGGCCCCCCTCCTCAACGGGGTCAGGGGGTCATTTTACAGAGAAAACGTGCATGCGCAGGAGCATGACAGATTTTGTATGCTTACCGTTGCCTTTTTCGATACCTCATGAAACAGATTTCTACAAATGATGCATAATGAGAAGTTGGAATGATAAGCAAAAGCTATAGCTTTTATATACCGGTGTAGGTTTCATCCATGAAATGAGGGTTGTCATGGTAGGTCACAAAACATTTTTTTACGCCCTTCCATTTGAGCGGGTCAGGTCCGTATTGTATAGAGGACACAGATGTATTACAGCAAGCTGAAAGAAACATCAGCAATTTTGTACTGAAGTCCGGAGAGGTGCTTTTCAAAACGTAGACGGACTGTGTTGTCAATCCATTTGGAGCACTTTGCTTTTGATGGACATAATAGCGCTGGAAAGCCATGGTTCCTTGTGGTTTTTCAAATTCTAGGGAAAGGTAGGTGCAGGCAACCCCCAAGCCTCTATAAAGTGACTAGGGCCCACCACCCTTTGGTCTATAATTTCAGCTCTTTGTGTGGTGTGCACACCAAATCTGCCACCACATCTACTTCATCCCCTAGGGAACCTTCTAAATTCTATAAAAGGTGTCCTGATTGTATTAGTCTTTTCTTTCTAAGGACAGGTAGGTGGAGGCAACTCCAAACCTCTATAAAATGACTAGGGCCCCCTTTGTGGTCTATAATTGTATTTTCTGCGTGGTGCGCGCCCCAAAATAACCACCAAAACCAATTCAACCCCTAGGGAACCTTCTAAGTTCTATTAAACTCTCCTGTTGGTATTAGTTTTGTTTCTGTATTTTTGCCCCTGGTAACATGCAGGTTCCTTGTGGTTTTTCACATTTGTGAAAGTGAAGTTGCATTCATGTCATGATAAGCTATGTTTCATGGAAACCCGCGGTTGAGACACGTTGACCCTCGCCAACCTTCGGTTGGCTCAAGCCTGCCTTTGAGAAAAGGTGCACTTTTCGCCGCTTGAAACCAGTTTCAACACTGGCAGCGGAGCCCCGCAAGGGGCGCCCTTGTCACCCCTGGCTTCGAGCCAGGACACCTTCGACTCCGAAGGCAAGTTCGGGATCCCTCGCTTCTCAGGCGAGCCAGCTCAGCTACCAGAAGGAGGCGGTATACCCTGGCCCGGTGCTCAGGGTTGGAGACATGGAGAATGAATGAACCCTTCTTTCGTAATGTGCGGCGAGTCAGCAAAGGGGTAGATAGTTTGGCCGTCTGACATGTCGATCTCACTTTGAGTCAGGGCTTTGGGCACTTGCTGCAAGGGCCACTCAGGGATACCTCCTGTATGTGGCCTCACCGAGGCATTGCGTGCAAAGCGCGCAACTGCCAGGCACAACGGAAATGTGATTTGGTGCACTGTAACTGGGAGTTGAACCAACCTGACTTCAAAATCTTCCTGCAAGCATACCTCAGAGTACTCTTTCCGCGTCCAGATGAGGATGCTGCGCGAGAAAGGCATGGAAGAGAGCGAGCTGAAGAAAGTTGGCCCCCTTGAGGTTGGTTGGACTTCGTGGACAAGCCCTGCGCTTAGCCCAGCAGCTGAAGCCTGAGGATCTAGCAAAGCAGTCAGGCCCTGAGACACTCCTGAAGCTGTTCAACGACACCCTGAAGCCAAGAGCATCTCAGGAGGCGCGCGAACTCTACAGTGCCGGGTCGAAAAGAAGGCGGCGTCCTCAGTCGTCAGTCAGGCGAATCGATGTCAAGTTACATCACCAGGAGAAGGTCCTGGTGGATTGCATTGAAAGGCCTGGACAGTGCCGTCGCCATCCCGGATGTGATCCTCGCTGAGCAGCTTTTGACCAACCCTCAAATCTCTGGAGACCAGAGATTGATGGTGAGAACCATGCTCCAAGGCACCCGAGGATCCATGAGTTCGAGAAGCAGCGTGGCGGAAAAGGCTATGGGAACCATTCACGCCCATGGTCACGACCTCAAGGACATCAACATCGCCACAACAAGCCCTTCCGGAGCTACTTGGCAGAAGATGCCGATGAATGGGAGAGTCAGGACCTCACTGGCTTTGAAGTTGAAGAGGATCATACTGCCTACTTCCAGGACACCGAGACCGTTGTTGAAGAGGATGCTGAGATCTACCTGGAAGAGCACATGTGCTTTCTCATCGAGAATGGCATGGACATCGAAAACGAGGAAGCATGTGCCTTGGCAGCCGAAACCCTCCAGCTTGAGTATCGTGAGGCAGCAAGCCTCAGGAAAGGGTCACGGTGGCTTTCATCAGGCCCGTCATTTGTTTCTGGACAGCTCTCATTCAAGGAACGAAAGGCCCGTTTGATGCAGCTGAAGTCAAAGACCGAAAGCCGTCGTTGCCATCAGGAAGGCCACTGGTCAGGTGATCCACAATGTCCCAAAGGATCACGAAAAGGCAGCGGCAAGTTCTCTGGAAGATCACCGAGCACATCATCGACTTCACCACCTTCTACATCCAAGAGTGGAAAACGCAAAAGCTCTGGGAAGCACAAACCCAGAGTGGTCTACTTCAGCGTGAAAGAACAAGAGGATGTCCCCGATCCAAGAGCAGAGAAAGCATGGTGTGGTCTGGCCTTGAAAGAAGATCCACGAGGCCGTGGAGTTTGTGTACCACCACCTTCAAGCTTTCAGAGCCCTCCACGATCCACTGCACCTCCGGCCAGTCCGCCTACAGGACTACGTGCTAAGGCTGCTCCAACGCAGTTGGCTGCGCAGGATGCAATGGCATTGGGTATGTCCCAGGCACCTCAACTTCCTTTTGGAGTTCCTCGCAACGATTCAGCACAAGTTGAGTTACAAGATGCTGGCACTGGGGTCTTGGTTGAGAGGTCTTTGCATTTGGTTCCTTCAGGACTACGTGGCCGCCTGCTCACGCAAGATGAGATTGATGAACAAGCTCTACACGCAGCTTTGCACATGGTCGCTGACATGGAAGCCATGGAGGTTGAATCTGAAGGCTATGAGCCCAGCATCTATGACCCAAGCTTGATGTCTTTTGAGCTTGTACCTCAACACGCACCTGGACCCTCTTCTGGATTTGGACAAGGTGTCATTCCTTCGAAAGCACCAGGTGTTCCTCCGCTACCACTTCGTCAGCATGATACTGGATGTGAACACAAGAAGACCACGAGAAAGGGCGCCAACAAGTACTACACGATGTCATGTGTGGACTGTGGCGCAGTCTTGGAGAAGACCAGAAAGCCAGAGCCCAAAGCGCCGGCCAAGTCAGCGCCACCACCTTTGCCGGCTACTGCAGAACAAGAACTTTGTCCACACCATCGCATTTCATGGACGGGAACAAATGGATTCCAGACGCGGCAAACTTGTCTGGATTGCGGCTTTGTCAGGATGGGCCGCCCAAAGTCAGCAGCAGCTCCTTCACGGCATTTATCCTCAGCCGAAAGAGACCTTCCTTTGAGTTTCACTCCTCAAATGGCCCGAGAAGTCTTCCGCATGAGCAGTATGATGGCCCTCATCAAGCACAACGAGACCGGTGAGAACCTTACAAGTGAAGATTTGTCTGGTCT